TACTACTACTACTACTACCCTACTACTACTACTAACTACTACTACTACTACTACTACTATACTACGACTACTACGAACTACTACTACTACACTAACTACTACTACTACTACTACTACTACTACTACTACTACCACTACTACTACTACGACTACTACTACTGATACTGCTACTACTACTACTGCTACTACTACTACTACTACTACTACTGCTAGTACTGCTGCGACTACTGCTACGACTACTGCTACTACAACTACTACTACTGCTGCTACTACTACTACTACTACTACTACTACTACTAGTACGATCAGTACTAGAAGTACAACTAGTACTAGTACTAGCACTAGTAGTAACACTACTACTTCCACGACTACTACTACTACTACTACTACTACTACTACTACTACTACGACTACTACGACTACGACTACGACTACGACTACTACTACTACTACTCTATCTACTACTACTACTACTACTACGACTACTAACGACTACTATAGTACTACTACTACTACCGACCCGTACTATCCTACACCTAACCTTCTACTAACGCTACTACAACTACGCCGCTACGACGACGGACGACGACGAGACGACGACTCACCACTACTACTACCTAAAAAACTATACTACTACATCTACATCCTACTACTACTACTAACTACTACTACTACTACACTAACTAATACTACTACTGCTACTAACTACTAGACTACTAATAGAGTACTAGTACTTAGTACTACTACTACTACTAACTGCTACTACACCACTGCTACTACTCTGGTAACTACTATTACTATTATAAACACTACTCACTACTACTACTACTACATCTACTACATCTACTACATCTACTACATCTACTACATCTACTACTACTACTACTACTACTACTACTACTACTACTACTACTACTACATCTACTACTACTACTACTACTACTACTACTACTACTACTACTACTACTACGACTACGACTACGACTACGACTACGACTACGACTACGACGACGACTACTACTACTACTACTACTACTACTACTACTACTTGCTGCTGCTGCTGCTACTACTACTACTACTACTACTACTACTACTACTACTACTACTACTACTACTACTACTACTACTACTACTACTACTACTACTACTACTACTACTACTACTACTACTACTACTACTACTACTACTACTACTACTACTACTACTACTACTACTACTACTACTACTACTACTACGACCACTACTACGACCACTACGACTACGACTACGACTACGCCTACGACTACGACTACTACTACTACTGCTGCTACGACAACGACGACGACTACGACGACGACGACGACAACTACTACTACTACTACTACTCCTTCTCCTTCTCCTTCTCCGTCTCCTTCTCCTTCTCCTCCTCCTTCTCCTTCTCCCTCTCCTCCTCCTTCCCCTACTCCTTCACCTACTCCTGCTCCTACTCCTCACCCACCTCCCTCCTCCTGCATCTCCTCCTCCGTTTCCTCCTTCTCCTCCACCTCCTTTTCCTCCTCCTTCTTTGCCTCCTCCTCCTCCTCATATCTCCTCACTTCCATCCTCCCAGCCCCCCCCGCCCCCTGACCCGAGACTGTGGCAGAGCCATCAGCGCGTCTCTGGCGTCGTCGTAATCGTCGTCGTCGTAGTCGTCGTCGTTGTCGTCGTCATCGTCGCCGTCGTCTTCAGGGTCGGCGGCACCAGCCGTAAGGCCTTAACAGGCAGGAGTGTTGCAGATGCAACTGGTGATGCAAAAAGGTGCCGCCCCGCCCCAGCACCAAAAGACTGTATAAGCATACTCTGGGGTCCTTAATAAGCGTGGGGGGGTACCATCCCGACGGGGGTCAACCTCGCCTCGTCGTCGCGCCGCGACGGGGATTCGGAGCGCCTTCGGCGCGCGGTGGCTGCCCGCGACGGGGGCCGATGCGGGGCTGTCGGCGGGGGTGACGCCCCCCCGACGCTTGCCAAGAAACCCGGAGTAGGCTTCCGGAGGCCAGCCCGCACAGATCTCTTGGATCGGCGCGGACCTCCGAACACTCGTGCTCACGCAGTGTGTCTTTCGTCGACTTCCTCCAGGGCCCGTGTCTCTTCCGTCGGCTACACCCACGCAAAGAGTGACGCTCGGCAGGAGTGACCCTTGGTGCGCGGCTTTAGGGTTAAGTCGGGCCTGTCCCCCTACAGGGGGATTTTCGACGAAAAATAAAAAATACCCTAAAAATAATACAAAATTAGCCTGGCGGAGGACTCAACCATATGCAGTCGTGGGTCCCGCCATTGTGAGTATCTTCTTCGGCGGCACACCTTATGGGGCCACGAAACGTGTGAGGGGGTGTGCCGAAATGGGTGTAGGGGACGCATGCGGGCGGCAGCACTGGGGCCTTCGGTGGAGCTCCCTATGGGGCCACAAAACGCGTGAGGGGTGTGCCGAAATGGGTGTATGGGACGCATGCGGGCGGCAGCCCTGGGGCCTTCGGTGGAGCTCCCTATGGGGCCACGAAGCGTGCGAAGGGTGTGCCGAAATTGATGTAGGGGACGCATGCGGGCGGCAGCACTGGGGCCTTCGGTGGAGCTCCCTATGGGGCCATGAAACGTGTAAGGGGGTGTGCCGAAATGGGTGTACGGGGCGCATGCGGGCGGCAGCACTGGGGCCTTCGGTGGAGCTCCCTATGGAGCCACGAAACGTGTGAGGGGTGTGCCGCAATGGGTGTAGGGGACGCATGCGGGCGGCAGCACTGACGCCTTCGGTGGAGCTCCCTATGGGGCCACGAAACGTGTGAGGGGTGTGCCGAAATGAGTGTAGGGGACGCATGCGGGCGGCAGCCCTGGGGCCTTCGGTGGAGCTCCCTATGAGGCCACGAAACGTGTGAGGGGTGTGCCGAAATGGGTGTGCGGGACGCATGCGGACGGCAACCCTGGGGCCTTCGGTGGAGCTCCCTGTGGGGCCACGAAACGTGTGAGGGGTGTGCCGAAATGGGTGTAGGGGACGCATGCGGGCGGCAGCCCTGGGGCCTTCGGTGGAGCTCCCTATGGGGCCACGAAACGTGTGAGGGGTGTGCCGAAATGGGTGTAGGGGACGCATGCGGACGGCAGCCCTGGGGCCTTCGGTGGAGCTCCCTGTGGGGCCACGAAACGTGTGTGGGGTGTGCCGAAATGGGTGTAGGGGACGCATGCGGACGGCAGCACTGGGGCCTTCGGTGGAGCTCCCTATGGGGCCACGAAACGTGTGAGGGGTGTGCCGAAATGGGTGTGGGGACGCATGCGGGCGGCAGCCCTGGGGCCTTCGGTGGAGCTCCCTATGGGGCCACGAAACGTGTGAGGGGTGTGCCGAAATGGGTGTGCGGGACGCATGCGGGCGGCAGCCACTGGGGCCTTCGGTGGAGCTCCCTATGGGGCCACGAAACGTGTGAGGGGTGTGCCGAAATGGGTGTGGGGACGCATGCGGGCGGCAGCACTGGGGCCTTCGGTGGAGCTCCCTATGGGGCCACGAAACGTGTGAGGGGTGTGCCGAAATGGGTGTGCGTGACGATGATGATGATGATGATGATGATGATGATGATGACGATGACGATGACGATGATGATGATGATGATGATGATGATGATGATGATGATGATGATGATGATGATGATGATGATGATGATGATGATGATGATGATGATGATGATGATGATGATGATGATGATGATGATGATGATGATGATGATGATGATGATGATGATGACGATGGGAGGGGGGAGGAGGCGGAGGAGGAAGGAGGAGGAAGGATAGGAACGCGGGGCACCGTCTCTTCAAAACGAGGACCCAACACCACAGGATGGTTGGGAAATATTCCAAAAATGCTCTGGGGACTATTTTTGGAATATTTTTTGACCTTTTTGCAATATTTTGGGGGTATCTTTTGTTTTTCGTCGAAAATCCCCCTGTAGGGGGACACGCCCGACATAACTTTAGGGGGGGGGGGCGGTGGGGGCAAAACCTGGGCGCGCAGGCAGCTGCTGCCGCACCACACTCAGCGAGCGGGGGGCCCTTTTTTGGGGGCCGCGCCAGCCGTGACTCCGGCGAAGGGTCACTCCCGAGACCTCCGCCGAGGGAGGCCTCCCGCTTGGGGTCCGAGTGGATGGGGCCGGAGGATCGCGCCATGCAGCGGCGACGCACCGGACAGGCAACGGCGACGCATCGCGCCATGCATCGGCGACGTCGCCGTGGACAAACTCGGGCCCCACACCGAGCCGCATCGCGACGATGCATCGGCGACACGTCGCGATGCTCCGATCCCGTCTGCTCGGACCCCGGCTGGGAGGCCTCGAGCAGGCCTCGTGACCTCTTCACGGCCTGCTGCCCCGGAGGTCTGCACACCTTCCGCCCTGGACCGGCTCTTCCTCCCGAGCCGACTCTCTGCTGGCGGCCCCACGGGGGGCCCGGCCAGAGGCCCCGGGCGGCCGAAGGAACGACCCAGAGCCTGTCGCCACACTGATTGCTGGCATCGCGCGAGGACGTGTGGGTCTCAGGTGCAGCCGATTGTAGAGGGGCCCAGGGACACACGAGTAACTGAGTAGACACAGATCCCAGGATCCCCCCAGAGGTTCCCACTTTTCCTGGGTCTTCGCCTCCCCCCCCCCCGTCTCCCATTCTCCCAGCTTTTCCCTGGGAGTCGACGACTTACTGTGTCTGGGTTTTTTTCTTCCCTTTCTGAAATTTTAGTGGTGGCCCGTTGGGGGCACCCGCCCTGGTTCTTCACCGGCGTCACGACGCCCTTCGAGCGCCAGTCCACGCTGTCCGGCAGCCCCGCGGGCAAGGCGGCGCCCGGCGCGGCCGCGGCGGCGCCCACGGCGGCCTCGCCGCCGCCGCCGCCCGAGGGGCGGCTGGTGCGGGCCGCGCGGAACTCGTCGTTCGTCCAGTCGGTGAACTCGTTCGGGGCCGCGAACCTCGGAGGCTTGCGGAGAGGCCTTCGCTGCGATGCTCTTGGAGGTCGGCTCGCCCCGGGATGCTCTCCCAGCAGCTGTGCCTCGCCGAGAGCGTTCCAGAGGGAGCCCGCGCCGTCCACAACGGCCGCCGGGGGCCCGAGTTGGTGCCCGAAGACCACTCGGAAGACGCAGAAGGCGCCCATACAATATGATCCCGGGTCGAGGGTTCCCCCCCTCAGATGGGATGGGTCGCAGAGTTCCACAGCCCACGACCCCCAGATGGGATGGGTCGCAGGGTTCAACCGTCGAGATAGCCATCGGGGCGACCATCGGGACAACCATCGCGACAACCATCGGAACAACCATCGGAAACACTGCTGGGACAAGCGTCGGGACAACCATCGGGACAACCATCGGGAAAATCATCGGGGCAACCATCAGGACAACCATCGGGGGGACAACCATCGGAGGGACAACCGTCCGGACAACTGTCGGGATAACCATCCGGACAACCAGAGCGGGACAACTTTCACACCACGGCCGCCGTGTGCGGCGACTCATTTGTCTGACTTGGCCCTAGCCTCTAACTACAGGCTCGGGAAAGGTTTTCTCCCTACGCCGCCACATGGTCCGATGCCGAATCACAGGAGGATTTGTGTGAGCGATGGTTGCACAGTGTGATGCAGTGGCTGGCCGAACACACTGCGCTTCGGATGTCCACACCCACTGCCCTGGTTATACTGTCGCACAACAGTGCGGAATGTGGGCAAGTATGTGCGTGTTCAGTACACACCGCACACACCGCCCCGTTTCGCGTGTTTGCACCCACGACGTGAGTGAAATGTTAGTTCCTTGTCATACACACATCGACAACACCCAATGCGTCTTGAGAACACCTCAGGGCCATAACGTCCCGAATGTATACGCCCACCACGTGTGCGAATGAATCGTTTCCTTCATGTCCCTGCACCACGTGACATAATATACTGTGTCCCGGAGCGTCGGCCCCCCCCAACGACGACGCCGCCGACGACGACGACGATGATGATTTTGACGACCACGACGACAACTACGACGACGTTGACGTGCGCTCTCGCCAAATCAAACCAGGGATGTTGCAAGAGCTTCGCGGTTCCCAGGGCCAAACCTTGCACATTGCAAGGACGTCTCATGCGAAGAAGGACCCAAACCAGGCCAAACCAGGCAAATTGTGAGGACGTCTCAGGCGAAACCAGGCCCAAACCAAGCCAAACCAAGCAAATTGCGAGGACGTCTCAAGCGAAACTGGGCCCAAACCAGGCAAATTACGAGGACGTCTCAGGCGAAACCGACCCCCAAACCAGGCCAAACCGGGCAAATCGTGAGGACGTCTCAAGCGAAATCGACCCCCAAACCAGGCCAAACCAAGCAAATTGTGATGACGTTTCATGCACAACCGGGCCCAAACCAGGCCAAACCAGGCAAATTGTGAGGACATCTCAAGCAAAATCAAGCCCAAACCAAGCCAAACAAAGCACATTCTGAGGACGTCAAGCAAAACCGGACCCAAACCAGGCCAAACCAAGCAAATTCTGAGGACGTCTCAAGCGAAACCGAACCCAAATCAGGCCAAACCAGGGGCCAAACCAAGCAAATTCGGAGGATGTCTCAGGCGGTTTGCGGCGCCCAACCGAGCCAAACCAAGCCAAACCAGGCCAAACCAGGGCCCAAACGAGGCAGATTTTGAGGACGTCCCAGGCAGAATCGCCCAAACCAGGCTCCACCCACTCCTTAATAAAATTCGAATTAAAGGAGTGGACCCACCCAGGGCCCTCCCCCCTGGCGCGAGCACGTTTAGAACTTTATGGGGGGGTGTTTGGACCACATGTCCGGCGAGGTGGACGGGGTCGGGTGCGGAAGGCTTCGTTTGTCTTTCGGTTGGAGGTGTTTGGTCCACATGTCTGGCGAGGCGGACGGGGTCGGGTGCGGAAGGCTTCGTTTGTCTTTCGGTTGTTCCTGGGGCGTTGTTGTGCCGTCAGGGGAAATGTTTCCGAGTCTGTAGTGTGCGAACTCGTGCGACTTCGCATCGCCTCGCCTCGCCTCGCCCGCGCGCACTTCACGCACGTCACGCACGAAACGAAACGATGTCCCGGTTGGTGCATCTCACGTTGCACTTCGGGCTCGCCCCCAAATCTCCGACAGCACGGGAGTGGAGTGGCAAGGCCAGGGCTAAGGCATCCTTGGGGTGGGGGGTGCGGCTGCCGAAAGGGGCATTGTATTGGCGCCGTGTCTCCGAACGGCGGAAGGACTACCGCCGCCGCGACGACGCCACGTATGTAATGCAATATTCTTGCCTGCACCTTCAGCTCCAGCGCGGGCCTTGCGGCGGCCTCATCGAGGGCGGCAGAACAACCTCACCAGGCCAAAACGGGAAGAGCCTTCACGTGAGGCATGTGCGCAAGTGCGGACGCATGCGGACCCTCTCTGGGCAATCGGCCGTACGTCCCTCCTGAAAGGAGGGAGGGGGGGCGAAGGAAGGGCAGAGAGAACTGAAGCTTGGGGAAGTAGAATGCCACGTGACCTTCTCCGAAGGCCTCGGGGGCGTCGGTCTGAAGCCACACTTCCATCACGCTCCTAGATGGCACCAGGGGTCATGTCCTGCATCCGCGAACTGTCTTAGAGGCCTCTTCCCCAAGCAGTGCTTGCACTTAGGGGTTCTAACTTTTTCTATGGAGCAGGAAAACACTACCGCACGCGTCACCCGACGGGGCGTACTTGTCATATACCCACGTGTCAAAGTATCCAGCATGGTCACGCGAAGGTTGCCGCTGCAACCGACGACTCGGAGGAAGGAACCTGGCCACTCGCCACTGCTTCTAGCAGAGGAATGTGTTTGGTACAAGACGCCGGGGGAGTCATCGCGTCCTTGTGGTCGTCTTCCCCCAGCAAGCCTCCGACGGCAAACCCTGATCGCCCCAAATGCTTCACAAACACATTCAAATACAGGGTGCCACTCTCTGTGCGTCCATGGGCGACTTTCAGCTCTACCCGGCCAATAGCAACCCATTGCGGACTTGTCCTAACGCTTTGCCGTACGCCGTAGTGGTACCCTCCAACTTGCTTAGCCTCTGCCCAAGAGCCTGTAATGTTCAGTTCTTGGAAATACATATCCGAACAACTTCCACCCAAGCGGCGCGCATCGGCCTGCACACGAAGCAATGCGTCTTCAGCGCTCACTCCGCGAGGGATGTTTATCAGAACATGTTTGCCCGCCTGCATTAAATCGAACCGCTCGCCGTGAACATTCTGAAGGTGGGGATCGCCGGTGGCAGCCACGCCTCCAGCAGCTCCACCCGCCATAGGAGCTGCGGGAAGAAACGTTGGTTGTGGCGTCGGCCAACCCAGAGGATATGTCGGGCTGGGCGTCGGGCTAGGGGTCGGGAACGGCGTCGGGAAGGCCGTCGGGTAGGGCGTCGGGAAAGCTGTTGGGTAGGGCGTCGGGAAGGCCGTCGGGTACGGCGTCGGGAAGGCCGTCGGGTACGGCGTCGGGAAGGCCGTGGGGTACGGCGTCGGAAAGGCCGTCGGGTACGGCGTCGGGTACGGCGTCGGATTCGGCGTCGGGCTCGGCGTCGGGTACGGCGTCGGATTCGGCGTCGGGTTCGGCGTGGGCTTCGGCGTCGGGTACGGCGTCGGGTTCGGCGTCGGGCTCGGCGTCGGCTTCGGCGTCGGGTACGGCGTCGGGTTCGGCGTCGGGTTCGGCGTCGGCTTCGGCGTCGGGTACGGCGTCGGGTTCGGCGTCGGGTTCGGCGTCGGCTTCGGCGTCGGATACGGCGTCGGCCTCGGCGTCGGCCACGGCGTCGGCCTCGGCGTCGGGTACCGCGTCGGCCACGGCGTCGGCCACGGCGTCGGCCTCGGCGTCGGGTACCGCGTCGGCCACGGCGTCGGCCACGGCGTCGGCCTCGGCGTCGGGTCGGGCCCTTTCGCTGCCAGAGCTCTGTCCAGGGACCGTTGATCATCCGCGTCCTGGGAGCCCCTGGAGCTCCTGTCCATCAGCACCTCAGCCGCCTGGGAGCTGCTGGGGCTGGCCACCCTGCAGAGGCCACACGTTGCAGGGCAGGTCGCTTTCACAGTGCTGCCATACTTCGCATCTTCGCAATAAGGCTGCACCGCAGCACAACCACTGATAGTGACGCCGATGCCGCTTGCCAGCGCAATAATTTGGGCGTCGTCATCTGCACACTCTGGCTTGGAACTCACACCGATCGAAGTCACAGTGGGTGCGCTGATGCTGAGGACGACTGCAACCACGGACCACACGGTCCAAGGCGCCTTCTGGACCGCCATCCCACGGAACAGAAAAGAAAGGACCCGCAAGCCAAGTGTTGTCGCGTGTGTGTGTGTGATTTGATTGCGGACAAAATGGAAGCTGCACCAAGTCTGCTTGAACCAGGATGCCTGAACCGGGATGCATGAAGCTTCACGAATCCCACCAGCCCTCTGGGCGTAGGTAGTTTAACGGATTGTGTCTCTTCTCTTTCCCTTTCTCTTTATCTTTCTCTTCCTTTTTCTTTATTTCTCTCTCTCTCTCTCTCTCTCTTTCTCTCTCAAAGCCCATCCTTCCCCTGCGCGGGGAAGGGTTTACCCCTGTCCCTACCCCTCCCCTGGGCCTGGGAGGGGGGGGGCGCGAGACGCTGCAGCCCCCCAGATCGCCCAGTATGGCTCCAGGAGGGCCCCAGAGACCCCAAGATGGCCTCCAAGATGGCTCAAGATAGCCTCCGACGCACATCCAAAATGCCTCAAGACGGCCCCAAAACGGTATCTAGTGCCCTCCGAGCCCTCCAAGGACCCCCCCAAGAGGCAACACCGGCTCCGAAACCGAGGCCAAATGTATGATGCTTGCCGTCTCGCCCTTTCGCGTCCGATGGGCCTCGGAGGCCTCAAGATGGCCCCAAGACAGCCCCAGAGAGCCCCACGAGGTGCCCAAGAGGGCCCCGAGAGGGCCACAAGGACGCCCAAGAACGCCCCAAGAGCTCCCCTAAGGGGCCCCGAGACAACCTGTTTGAGCCTCTGGGGGGGGGGACCTGAATTGAGGATCCCCCATTTTTGACTCATCGGGGCCAAGATGTCCCAAGAGGCCTCCCAGACCCTCCAAGGAGCCCCAAGAGGGCCACAAGACTCCAACAAAGAACCCCCAACAGGGCGCCAGAAGGCCCCACGGGGGCCCTAAGAGCGCCTCTCAGATGGCCTTCGTCGTCCTTCAATAGCCTCTCACAACAACATACCTCAAAGCCAGGCGCCTCCTCCTCCTCCGCCTCCTCCTTCCTCCTCCTCCTTCTCCTCCTCCTCCTCCTCGTCGTCCTCCTCCTCCTCCTCCTCCTCCTCTCCTCCCTCCTCCTCCTCCTCCTCCTCCTCCCCCTCCTCCTCCCCTCTCCTCCTCTCCTCCCCCCCCCCCGCCCCCTCCACCCCCGCCCCCACCCCCCCGCTCCCCCACCTCCCTCCCCCCCCCCCGCCCCCGCCTCACCCTCTCCCCCCTCTCCCTCCCCCCCCCCGCAACCCCCCTCCACCTCCCTCCCCCCCCCCCCCCCTCCCCGCCCCCCCCCACCCCCTCCACAATTACTCAATGTGAATACTACTCTCCTCCTTCCCCTGATGACGGGTTGGGTGTGTTCCCCCCCCCTCCCCCGCGTACTGCTTTTTACACACAGGATTCCCCCGAGTTGGGTGTTCGCCTGCACTTTTGTTCAAAATGCCGCTCTCGCTGAGGCGCCGGCCTCATTTTCGGGCCCCGCTCGTTCCGAATCGCGTTCCCGCGGCAGCGCTGGCCTCATTTCCGTGCTTCCGCTCGTTCCGAATCGCGCTCCCGCTGCAGCGCTGGCTTCATTTCCGCGCTTCCGCTCGTTCCGAATCGTGCTCCTGCTGCAGCGCTGACGTCATTTCCCGTGCCATGCCACGGCATGCAATGCAATGCTAGGTTGCGTTCCGCTGCGCGATGCCATGCCTTCGACTGAAGCTGTGATACGCAGTGATTAAGTGCCACGTCGTGGTATGCCATGCTACGTTTTGATCTTCAACGCCATGCTGTGCAATGTTATGTTCGGGGCCGCTGTGCGATGCCATGCTTTGCGTTGCAAATCTTTGTGACGCAATTCTTCACTACGCCACGCCACGCCATGCTGTGACATACTACGCTGCGCGGTGCTCTTCTACGCCACGCCACGCCGTGCTCTACAATGCATCGCGTACCCTTTCGGGATCATTGCCCTGCTCGACATCCGATTGTGCGAGCGCCGACGCCGACGACGCCGGCGACGACGACGACGACGACCACCACCACCACGACGACGACGACGACGGTGACACCGACGCCGACGCCGACGCCGACGCCGCCGCCGACGCCGCCGAGGCCGACGCCGCCGCCGAGGCCGACGCCGCCGCCGAGGCCGACGCCGCCGCCGATGCCGACACCGACGACGCCGACGCCGACGCCGACGCCGACGCCGCCGCCGCCGACGCCGACGGCTGACGACGGCGATGACGACGACGCCGACGCCGACGCCGACGGACGACGACGGCGATGACGACGACGCCGACGACCCCGACGCCGACGATACGACGACGACGACGACGACGGCGACGACGACGACGACGAATCAGCCCCCGCACCCGCAAGGGGAGGGTGGGGGGTGCACCAGCAGCTTCCACCACGCCACGCCCACAGGGCCACGACCACAGGGGGAGGGGGAGCGACCCCGTTCGCGAGGCCTTCGCGAGGCTCACGAGCGTGTCCATCCAGCGGGGGGGCCCGATCTCATGTGCCTTGGGGAGGGGGGGAGGGGGGAGATGGCAACCATGAATCATATATATATATATAGATATGTATATATATGTATATATGTATATATGTATATATGTACATATATATATATATACATGTGTATATATATATATATACCACCGCCGTGCCTGGCCGGGCCATCCTGGACCCTGGCGCGGCGCAGTCATACGACTTCCTGGCCGAGGCTGGGAGGGTGCATACGCGGCGGATTCCCGAAACCCTGAGCCCAGAAATGCTGTCATCCCTTGGAAGCCGCATGCTTTACTTCCGCCGCCCTTCCGGCGGAGGCGGCCTTGTTTTACTTCCGCCGGCCTTCCGCCGCCCTTCCGCCGAGGAAGAGGTGAGCGACGGTCAGAAACGGGTCTTGCGCGAGATGGCATAGCGACCTTACGCGCGGCTTGCGCGCGGCTTACGCGGGCCGCCAGCGCGGCACGCTACATTGGAGACGAGGGCGCTTACGCGCCACCTCACGCGGGAAGCTGACGCGCCAAGGTCGGCGCAAACGGCCCCGTTTGTCTGCGTCGCTTCGGCGACAGCTCCTTCGACCCTCGGAGGCGAGGCCCTCTCTGCAGCGCCTCGCATCATCCCAGGCCCTGACTACGGATCCGCCCTGCTTTGGGGAAATTCGTAAGTAGGGCTTGGAATTTCCGCCTTGCTTTTCAAGCCCCGCTGATGCCAATTTCCGCCCCACTTTTCTGTCGCTGTTTCTGCCCTACCTCTGTGGATGTTCGCCTTATTTCATGTTGGGTGCAGACATTTCCGCCCTACTTTTTCGGCTTCTTGTAGGTGGATTCCCGACGCAATTCTAAGTTGGAAAAAAAGCCAAAGTAGGGCGGATCTGGAGTCAGGGGGGCCGTGGTGGGCAGCTGCCCCCCGCGGAGCGCAGGGCCCCCCCTAAAAGACGCCCCTCCTTAAGGCGACGCGGAGCCCCCGGCGAGGCGGCGTCCGCGGCCACGGCCCTGGCCGCAGGGTGCGCCAGCACCCGGCCCCTTATATATAGGGGGCAAACAGACATACCCCCTGCGAAATGCTTAAGAAATCATGGGTTAAGAAATTCATAGTCTCAGAAATTGAATAAAACCCAGAACTTCTATCAAAATCTTTGGATTTACATGGAAAAATTAAGAATAATCGAGACTCAGGACGAAAACTTAGGTTTTCTTAAGCATCGCCTAAGGTGTACCTCGCTTTGGACCACCCTCGCTTCCAAGAGGTACCGAGTACGATGCCAGACTGCGGCCTGCACTGGCCAGGCCGCTCGACGAGGAGGCGCGTGGCACGACTTGGCTTTGCCTGGAAGCGAAAGCGGGGTAGGTAATTCACGCTCTGACTATAGCAAAACGGCGCGAAGATCGGCACAAAATCGGATCGGGATAACTCGAAATCTCTGAGAGTCGGCGGGTTTGGAGGATGTATTGGGCGCCGCGGCCGCTCCATGAGCGTTCCGGAACGCTCTGAGAGCGCTCCGGAACGCTCTGGAGCGATTTATCCCGGTCCTAGCTCTATTTTATATAGGCGCCCCGAGCTGGGCCTGGACGCGTTCTCTCTCTCTCTCTCTCTCTCTCAGCACGCGCCTGCCGGAGGGCCAGCCTCGAGAAGCGGGCCAGGGATGGACCCCCGAAGGGGGGCCCCGGGGCCGAAGTCGACCGGGTCTCCCGGCAGGGCGGGGGAGAGCCGCCGCGGTCTCCACTTCGGCGCGCCTCCGAGCTGGCCCAGGGGGACTCCTGGGGCCCCCGGACCCCCTCAGAAAGGCACCCCCAACAAAAAGGGAGGGTGGGCCCTGACTCCAGATCCGCCCTACTTTGGCTTTTTTTCCAACTTACAATTGCGTCGGAAATCCACCTACAAGAAGCCGAAAAAGTAGGGCGGAAATTTCTGCACCCAACATAAAATAAGGCGAACATCCACAGAAGTAGGGCAGAAACAGCGACAGAAAAATGGGGCGGAAATTGGCATCAGCGGGGCTTGAAAAGCAAGGCGGAAATTCCAAGCCCTACTTACAAATTTCCCCAAAGCAGGGCGGATCCGTAGTCAGGGGGGTGCGGGCAAGATGGATGTCCATGTCCAGTGCGCCTTGGACTTTCTTGGAAGGGGCGCCACAAGGCCGAGGCGCACTGGACATGGATCCGAATCGAGCCTCCAGGGGGCAGGTCTTTCTCCGCATCCAGTGCGCCTCGGGCTTCCGGGGAGGGGAGCCCGAAGCTACAAGCTGTAGTGGGTATGGGGCATGGACAGGGATGCGACCCGCAATGGCATAAAAAAAACGAGTCCAGCGCCGACCCGAGAAATCCGCAGAAGCCTCATCCAGGCCCGTGCCGTGTTCTGCCTGGTCCCCGAGAGCCACGTCTTGTTCGGGTCGGCGTTGTGGGCCCTCATCGCCGCCAGGTTCGCCTCGAAGATGCCCTGCCGGAGCTCCCCGACCTTCGTCGGGGCTGGGCGCGGACTCTGGGGACCTTCCCGGGGGCGCTCGCCACACCCGCGCGTCGAAGCTGCGTCGACCGTCCATCGATTCGAGTCGACCCTGAGTCGAACCTGAGTCGAACCAGAGTCGGACTTGAGATGAACCTGAGTCGAACTTGAGTCGAACTCGAGTCGAACTGGGGTCGAACTAGAGTCGAACAGATCCGCCAGGTGGGCCCCAGGAAGGCCCCCACAACGAGCGTCTCATCAGGGGCTCGACGGCTTCAGCCGTCCCTCGACCCGCGCTGGAGCGGCCACGATTTGCTCTCAACATTTCCGTGAAGACCCGTGGATCTGCCCAGATCTGTCCGGACCTGGCTTGCTTTATCTACTTTTTTGATCCGCGGGTCGAGAGCGCACCTCTTCCGGTCGAAGCTAAGGGCCGCGCGAGGCTTGAATTAACAAAAAGGGGGGGGGACAGAAGGAGAGCGGCCTCACGGCAAAGCCAGGAGGAGGCAAAGCCTCGGGATTTGATTTATCTGCACGCTCACCTTGATTTATCCGGCCTCCCCCCCCCCGCGAGCAGATGGGCGAAACGCCGCCGGGCCCTCGGGGGGACGACCTGCGCCGTCCAGCCGGCCGCCAGGGCGGACCAGCGCCGCTCCGGGAACTCCCGGTGGTACTGCTCGAAGGTGTACGAGCTCAGGTCGCGCTCGCCCTGCAGCGGCGCGGCGCGGGCCGCGCCCGCGCCGAGGAGGGCGCCCAGCGCCGCCGCTGCGCGCATCGAGCGGGCGCTCATGGCCGCTGCGGCCGCGCGCCGCGGGGTCAGCCCTCAGATGATGTTCGAAGCGCTGGGGACGTTGTTTGAAGAGGACGGAGGACGATGCACATACACGGATTCTGGCCAGGCCCGTCCTGAGCCCAGGATCGGTGCATACGGCCTCCTGCCTTGGCCAGGGGAGGCATACACACAGATCCTGAGCCCAGATTCCAGGATGGGCTTGGCCAGCATCGGTGTATGTGCACAATTCTCCTATGTTCTCCTCGCCCGATCTTCCCGATCTTTCAGTTTTCGAGATCGGCGCTCTTTTCCCGTTTGGGCGCCAATGTTGTTTCAACATTGGGAGTTTTCGCTCGCGCCGTTGTCGGTGCGGGTCCGCGGTGTGCAATCGCTTGTGCTTTTCCCTCTGTTCTGGGCTGCCGTGTCCCCCCCTCACTTTGTCTCCGTCTTGGTCTGCCGAAAGCCGGAAGGTCCTTCGGTGTGCCGAAGGCAGGAAGGTCCTGCTTTTCTTCCGTTCTGGTTTGCCGAAAGCCAGAACATTGACGAGAGCCGGGCGTTCAGAACATCAACGCGGGGTCCGCCGACGGTTCCCTGCTGTCTGTCCCTTGGCGGCTTGAGCCAAGGTCCCCGTGCGGCGGCGAGGGAGGAGGGGGGAGGGAGGAGGGAGCTCCCTCCAGTGCAGATCCTGAGCTGCGGGGCCACGGCCGAAGTCTCGACTCAAAGCGCTATTAAAAAAAAAAAAAAAAAAAAAAAAAAAAAAAACTCGATTCCGTCAGGTCGAGTCTGAAGCTCTGACGGCGGCTCTGGAGTTTCGCAACGCCGAGAGGTGCTGTCCCTGCGGGGGCAAATCGACAAGACCACCCTGAGACGAAAACGCATGTACCCGAGCCTGGGCTGCGACTGAAACTGCAGCATCGTCTGCCCGAACTGTGCTGCGCGCGGCCGCACGATATCCTCACTGGCCCTGCACGACTGCGTGCCGACCCCGACCACACTCTGGAGAGCGCGTCCTCGTGACCGCCGACCCCACGTCGAGGAGCCTGGACGACCCAGGAGAGCAGGAAGAAGAGGGGGATGAGGAGGAGGACAAGGAGGAGGGGGAGGGGGAGGAGAAGGAGGAGAAGGAGGAGGAGGAGGACGGGGAGGAGGAGGAGGAGGAGGGGGAGGAGGAGGAGGAGGGGGAGGAGGAGGAGGAGGAGGAAGGAGGAGGAGGAGGAGGAGGATGGAAGGAGGGGGAGCCCGGCCAGAGCAGGAGGCCGTGAGGCTCGGGCAGGAGCGCGGAGAGCCACACGCCGGGCCCGCGGCTTCGCTGCGGCCGGCGCGCGCCCGAGCCGTGAGCCGCGCGGGTGCCGGCTGCAGCGCCTGCGCGCTGGCGGAGCAGCAGTCGCGCAACGATAGGCCACGAGACACGCGCACACACACACACACAAACGCGCACACGCACACGCACACACAAACACGTATGTCCACACGCAAACGCACAAACACACACACAAACATGTTCACACGCAACCGCACAAACACACACACATACACGCACACACATAAACACACATGTTCACACGCAAACGCATAAACACACACTCTCTCTCTCTCACAGATGTGGCAATCGGGCTCGCAATACCCTTGCAACACCTATCCCTGTCCTTCCCTTCCCCTTCCACCTCTCTGTCGCTTTCTCTCTCGCTCTCTCTTTCTCTCTCTCTCTCTTCTCTCTCTCTCTTTCTCTCTTTCATTTTTTTTTGTTTGTTCTCTCTCTCTCTTTCTCTCTCTCTCTCTCTCTTTCTCTCTCTCTCTCTCTCTTTTTCTCTTTTTCTCTCTCTCTCTCTCTCTCTTTCTCTCTTTCTCGGATTTCACACCTAGAAAACCTGAAAAAGGTCGATCAAGGAGCGCGGGGGCCGAAAACGGGACAACCATCGGGACTATCGCCTCGATCCATCGAACACTCTATCGACATGTCGACCGATCGATGCCACGATACATGTGTGCATACATGTGCAATAGATGTATAGAATGCACAACTACACATCTCCTGGCATCACATTCTCTGTATGCCAATCACACTTCCTATATGCTCGACCACAATGTATGAGCACACACACACACACGCATATCTCAATGTGTATATTAACGTGCATATATAGATATCCATGTATGTATAGATCTGTGTATACTCATATATGTATCTGGATAACAACTATGCCGATCTGGCTATATATCGAACTATTCCACTATCACTATAATTGTCGATGCGTCTATCTATCGGCCCCGCGATCTACCGACCTCAATATCAAACAATCCACCTACCACTCGGGCAAACCATCCAAACAACCTCGATCGGTCTGTCGATATACTGGTATACAAACATCTCTATCACGATCAATATAGCTATCTGTCGTTTCCACTGTATACGTTTATATACATATATGTATGTATATATAAAATATCGCACGATAAAACTATCTCTCTATGCATGTATATACATGTATGTATACATACATGTAGGAATACCAACTGATACACGTATATCAGTACGTGTCGATCAAACTCACTATACATATATCGATCCCGATGTCAACATGTGTATATGCCGGGGAGCGGGAAACACCGTCACCCTCTCCCAAAAAAACAAAAACGACCCTCCTGGATCACTTGGTGGTGCTTGTGGCGATGGTGAGCACAACACATATCACTACACCCTTCGGCATTGCATGGTTTCGCCAAGATCCGGGACATGCGACTGGCTTGGAGTAGTTTCTTGGATACGACGTTCAATCATTATGCAACGACTTTGGGCTTTCGCTTCATACGTCATTCCGAGCAGCAGGGTGCCCTGATGGAGGCTCCTGAGTCTGATGACTTCAGGATCGACAGGGTCCTCGAAGGCTTTTCGGATGGTCAACGACGGCTTGGACAGGCTCAGAGCGAGCACAGCATGCCCTCCGAGCTGTCGCTCGGACACGCTCCTTGCAACAAGTACACAAATCAAGATTGGATACGCAAGAGATTGATGATGTAGATGTGGAAGCATGCTCCAGCAAAGTCTACTCGTCATGGTACCTGAAACTCTCTGTCCATGAACGTTTGTGTGTCTTGATCTTCCGCTCGGGAGCGGGAATGACGGAGACACGATGCCAATCTGGCAAACAATGCAAGTTCTGCGACGAGCTTTACCCATCCATGCGGCACTTAGTCTGCGAATACCCGAAATTCCGTACCTCACGGGACGAAGTGACGCACCGATATTCTCTACCAGCGCTTTTCTGGCCATCACTCCCAAGAGTGACTTCCAAGAGCGGCTGGGTGATGTTTGCCCTTTCGGAGAGCAACATTGAACGGGCCCGTTTCTTGGTCGCTGTGTTCTTTGGGAATGCAGGTTATCAAGTTGGGTTTGACTGATCTGCTGCATGATCCTGGCGCCTTTCCGCAGGATGATGGACTTCGTGCACGGTAACTCGTACGAGTGGATCTACCCCATCGTCAGGGTGTTCCACATCAACGTGCGCACACGCAGAATGCAGTTACATGAATGTGTGTGGAACTCACCATATATATATATATATATACATATATATATATATATATATATCACTCGACCGAGAGAACCTATGCGTAGTCTTATATATATGTATGTATATATATATATACGGTAATACACACCGACCTCACGAACTACCGATCTCACTATATACCCGTCCCACCATCAACCTCTCGGTCGATCTCGATCAACCTCACTGAACACAGATATGCGTAGATATACATGTGTGCATCGAGACAACCATCGGGACCACCAGCGCATTGATGGCTGCATGTTGGCCAAGACCTCGAGGCGCTGAAGGCGCCGAGCGTATTGTCTCGACCGAGATCCATCGGGAGAACCTCCGGAACAACCATCGGGAGAAGCATCGGGACAACCTGCGGGACAGCCATCGGGACAACCATCTGGACAACCATCGGAACAATCATCGGGACAACCGCGGGCCCAATCTGCCAACGAGACTGGAGGAGCGCTTGTTGCTCCGACTTCGCTCCAGCCGAGGCGGGGTCACTCCTCTCGACTCTCGCCCCCGCGCACGCAGGCCGCGCCTCGCCTCGCCTTGCACGCGCGGCACGAGCACGGCACCGGAACCGATCTCCTGGCTGGAGGCCTCCGCTTCACGTCGATCTCGCCACCCAGCCGACGTGAGTAGCACGCACGTGCTGCACGATTCGAATCGTGTGTGCCTGGCCTGCCCTGCTGACGCGATGACCCCGTTCGGAGCTTCAGCACCGATTGGAACGGCCTCGCCCCCCCCCATCAGGGCAGTCATCTGGCAAACAGTCCTCGCCGTCACTGAGGGCGCCCTCCTCCTCCTCGCCTTCGTCGTCAGAGCCCTCGCCGCCTGCTCCCTCCTGCTGGAGTTGCTTGATCTTCTCCTCGCATGCGCAGGCGGGGTCCACCAAGACAGGGGCAGACAGGGAGAGGAAGCCGGACGCGACGCGGAAGAGGAAGGGGATGACACCGGCAGGCGGGGCGAGGCAGACGTTGGAGGGGGGAGAGAGGGAGGAGGACGACGACGAGGAGAACGAGGAGGCGGAGAAGGTTGAGAAGAGGGGGGGGGAAGGAGGGATGATGAGGGAGGAGGGCAAAAAGGGGGAAGAGGGAGGAAGAGGAGGAAGAGGAGGAGGTGGAGGACGATGAGGACGAGGAGGACGAGCAAACGCGCACAGCCGCCGGTCACCTCATACCCGTGCTCGCACTGCTGTGACAAAGCTTTTGAGACCAGCCAGACTTTGCTAAAGCACCGCGTATACATTCGTATGCATGTCAAGCATGGCGCAAGGGATTTGCATTCTGGCCAAGCTTGCACATGTCATGTGTGCCAAGCCGTTTTCTCGACAAGACTCTGGCTGCCTGCTCACACCAATCAACAACTCGACCAGTGCGGCGAATGGGTGCCTACGAATTGTGCACCACTGCTTGAAGGGGAAGCTGCTTGCTGCGTTAGACAAACTTGCGCGCTGGCGCGCCACTCTGC